AGCGAAAACGCGACTCTTCCACGGAGGCTGATACAGCCTTATCAGAAGGCTCGCCGTGACAGGAGTTTAAAAGTCCGTTGAGTATTCGTGCACCTTCGATTATTTATTGAGTGACGGTACATCGAACGACGTTGATCGTACAGTATAAAGCGGGAACCGAGACCGGGTAACACGTTCTATCTTCAAGCCAACTACTCGTGTTCTGACCAGAGATCCCGTGTCGTCGCGCGGAATCCTCACGAAGAGAAATCCCCCCTTTTCGGAGAATAGACGCCTGCTCCTTCCGAATTGGCGGACAAATTCGAAATAATGTGAGAGCGTTTACCAATAACGGCGAGTTTGACTGCGAAAACATCTCATGGTCGAAACTGTTTAGATCGCGAGGTTTATTTGGGAGACTAACGACATTCCACTGTCTCGATAGCTTTCTCTTTGCAAATACATAACGCTTGAGAACAGAGAATTACTGTTTGAATCCGGAACAATAGTTTTTGAATGATTTATTATTTGTCTCAGTTCCCGTAAGACCCTATGTTAAAATAGCAATATTAAATAATTAGTAACTTGTAAACGAACAAATAAAAAGAGTTTCATACTGCAACTCTCGTATAATTTCTAGATTTCTAAACTGTTGTTCTTGAAACATATGGTCGAACATTATCATGAAGCAGTAATAACTCCACGTCTATTGAGCTGGCATTATTAATTATTCGTTCTTGAAATCTGTACGGCGATTCTGTGACTTGCTATCGATGGTTTTCGGTATCGTTAACTAACCTATGAAAGCTGTGCTTTTAACGTCTTTGCTGTCGTTAGTTAATTTCGATTCCGAAAAACATCGATAGCAAGTTACAGAATCCCGGTACTGGTAAAATCATTAATGCCGGAAAATACTGTTCTCAGATGGAGGAAATGCACCAGCAATTACGCTTTAAGCAACCTGCAATATGCTTTATGATAACGCTCGACCACATGTAAAGGACGAGAGGTGAGGGGCAAGGGGCGAGAGCCGAGCGTCGAGCGGCGATCGGCGAGCGGGGAGTGTTTACTGAAGCTCGCCGCTCGCTGCGTGACAACTTTTTTTCGGCGCGTCGCTCCACCTCTCGCTATTAGATGATGCCCCACCGTTGCCTGCCGAGTCCGGCCTGCCGCCGTCTACGCTCTCATTCGCTGAGTCATTAAAATTAATTTCTCGATAACTATTGCGAATTTTGCAAAATGGTATAGGACTTTTCTATTCAGTTTGCCCCGGTCTATCTGCCATTTACGGGTGATACGGGTATTAGTACACACCCTGTATATTAGCGTTAACAAGTGCACTGCTTAACTCAAAACCTAACAAGTGGCGACGAGCAGAACCTACGTGCATTCTGGATGAAAGTGCAATGCAAAATAGAACTGTGTAAAGTGCATTAACAGCATAAACTGTAGTACAGAGCAGACTGTAAGGCATAACAGTGACTGTAATTATTATAAACAATTGGTGCATAAAAGCATATACATGACAACAAAAGAAAGACCTGAAAATCTTGGAGAACCAAAAACGTCGTGGATCTATGAACTGCCAAAATTAGACTTACAAGGGGAAGCTCAGGTGACTCACCCTGGGATTTCGATACCAATTTTTTTGGTTATTCTGGAGGTGAAGAAAATAGATACGTGTCCCGGTGTTTGATTGTATAGGCCTTAGTTTCGGAGTAATAAATTTGAGAAAATTGAAATTTATTTATCGTCCAGTGAAAAACTTCATCCGAAGAATCCCAAATTCTGTTGAAGTTTTACAACAAAACCGACGCTGTCTTCGCGAGAAGACACAATAAAGATTCATTCATTAATTTATTTGCAATTATCAACGAGAGAAATTAATTTCGATGCAAACCAAGCGTGCTCGATCATATCTATAAAAGCTCCCGCTGATAATTGCGAATGAATTAAAGAATGAATCTTTACTGCGTCTTCTCGCGAAGACGGCTGTCGGTTTTGTTGTAAAACTTCAACAGAATTTTGGATTCTTTGGATGAAGTTTTTCACTTGACGATAAATAAATTTCAATTTTCACAAATTTATTACTCCGAAACTAAGGCCTATTCAATCAAACGCCGGGACACGTATCTCTTCTTTCACCTCCAGAATAACAAAAAAAATTGGCATCGAAATCCCAGGGTCACCTGAGCTTCCCCTTGTTAGTGGAAAAGTGTCGTGAATATCATCTCGACGTCGACGAGTCTAGCTCGATCGATACACTTCGTAAACAATTGTCCAAGGCAGTGAAGCAAGGCCAAATTCCACAGGAGATTAGCGCGAGGGGATCGAGCAACGCGAGTGAGAAAGAGACCAACCAGAGTTAGAGCGAAATCAAAGGAAAGACAGTGAACGAAGTAAATAGGAAAGCCGAAGCAATGGAACATACCAAACTCCAATTTACGCTCGGCCAAGATGACTGGGAGATTTTCACGGATAAGCTCGAATTGCATTTCGACGCAAATGACATTGTGGTTGAGGAAAAGAAACGAGCCTACTTGCTTACAAAGATCAACGCTGAAGCTTATACTTTAGTGAGAGATCTTTGTGCACCAGAGAAACCCAAAGAAGTAAAGTACACTGATTTGTTGGCACTAATAAAAAATCACTTGCCACCGACACCTTCAGTAGCAATGGAAAGGTGCACTTTTCACAAAACATCCCAAACGTCAGAGGAGTCTGTATCCGATTTCGCAGCGAGATTAAAAAAACTAGCGATAAATTGTAAGTTTGAGGACCTAGACGACGCACTGCGAGACCAACTGGTATGCGGCCTAATCGAACATGAAACTAGAGTGGAACTGTTCAGAGAGGATGAGTTAACGTACGAGAAAGCTTTCAAGATCGCCAAAAGTGTTTTTGTTGTGGTGGTAAAAATCACTGGGAAAAAAACTGCAGATATCAATTTAGAACGTGCGACTCATGTGGGGTCAAAGGTCACCTTCGGGCGATGTGCAAGCAAGGACGGCGACGTCCAGAGGCTCATTCAGTAAAATACATGCAGCATCTTCAAGCAGATGACTCCAAGGCCGACTACTCCGATAACGATTTCTTCATGATTCGTCACGGCGTGCGCACTGTGGAACCAGGGGGTCCAATGTTTCTAAGAGTAAAGATTTTTGATGTGAATGTGGATATGGAAGTTGATACGGGAACTTTCGTAGCAGTAATGTGCACAAAAGAGAAAAATGAATTGTTTCCGGAAGTTCCAATTGAGAATACAGAGTCGTTATTAAAATGTGTTGGGGAAATAAAGTTACCATTAGTTGGAGTAATACGTAAGGTAGAAGTTTGTTATAGAAGTGTAAGAAAGTATTTAGAGTTGCACATTATAGAGGGTAGTGGACCAATTCTTATAGGGAGACACTGGTTGGCAGAATTTGGATTGTGGCCGATCGATTTACAACGTACAAGTAAAAATACAGTCAAAATGTTTTTAATTTGCACAACGAAAACCCGGAGAAAGCATTAATCAGCAAGTATCCAATGCTGTTTGATAATAAAGTCGGCACCTATAAGCACGGGGAGTTCAAGTTAAGGCTAAAACCAAATGCACAACCGGTGGCTCTCAAAGCTCGTCGTATCCCTTTCGCTATGAGAGCAAAGGTGGAAACAGAACTAGAGAGACTGCTAAAGTTAGGGCATATCGAGAAAGTCGAGTTAAGCGAATGGGTGACACCGATCGTTCTTGTCCCAAAAGGAAAAGGCGTGCGGATATGCAGCGATTTTAAATTAACAGTAAACCCGTTCCTGGTAGTAGATAAATATCCACTTCCGCTCATCGATGAGATTTTTAACTCCTTGCAGGGGGGAATCACATTTTCCCAAATCGATTTATCACATGCGTACATGCAAATTGTAGTTGAGGAAAAGTCTCGAGAATTGCTAACTATAAATACGCATAAAGGGTTATTCAGATACAGAAAAATGCCAGAGGGGGTTGCCTCGGGTCCTGGAGATTTCCAACGAAAGATGGAGGAATGCCTTAGCAGAGTACCAAATACTGCAGTATATGTATTTGAATAATTTAATGTGTACGGAAAAAAATTATAAAGAACATGAAATGGTAATTGATCAAATTTTTAAAAGGTTCGCTCATGCAGGTCTAAAAGTAAATGCATCAAAATGCGAATTTTTCAAAGAGAAAATTGATATCCTCGGTTACGTAATTGATAAACACGGATTACACAAGGCACCCTCCAAAATAAAAGCTATCTTGGAAGTTCCAAGTCCCACGAATGCAAAACAAGTTTCGTCATTCTTAGGACTCGCTAACTATTACGCGCGTTTCCTACCAGCCCGAGCGATAAAGTTGAAACCTCTCTACTCGTGTTGTAACAAAGGTGAATTTAAATGGTCCGCGGAGTGTGAAGAAGCTTTCCAATGGGTGAAAAATGAAATTACTTCAGACAGAATTTTGGCACATTACAAACCAAAAGTAGATTTAGTTCTGACATGCGACGCCACAAAATACGGATTATCGGCCATTCTATCGCATAAATATAAAGATGGATCGAAACGCGCCATTCATTTCGCGTCGAAAGTTCTTCCAAAACGGGAAATAGGCAGAGCCATAATTGATAAAGAAGCGGCGGCTATATTATTCGGTTTCAAGAAATTTTACAACTATATTTACGGCCATGAGATAATTTTAAGGACAGATCACAAACCCCTGGTGTTTATTTTTGGACCACACAAAGGTATACCAATGACAGTTGCCAGCCGTCTGAAAATGGGCTTATTACCTTTCAGGATTTAGATATAAAATCGAATATATTAAATCGGTCGATAATGGCAGTTGTGATGCCCTTTCGCGAATGCCTATATTTGATTCTACTCAGGTCTTCGACAGGGACATAAGTACAATCAGTTACATTGATGAAGGATTACACGCGGTAACGTCAGACGGGATACGTAGAGAAACGGGAAAGTGTCCTGAGGTGGGAAAGATAATAGGCTATTTGAGAGAAAAATGGCCGTCTTTTAATCAATTAACTGCGGCGGAGAAAAAGTACCATGAAATACGTTTAGAATTGTCAGTGGAGAAAGATTGTATATTACGCGGTAGTAGGGTAGTAGTACCAAGTAGCTTACGTGAAGCTGTGCTAAAAGAATTATACGAATCGCACTTTGGCATAGTGAAAATGAAGTCCATCGCTAGGTCCTACTTTTGGTGGCCCAAAATAGACGAGGATATAGAGCGTGTAGCGGGATCCTGTGTAATTTGTGTAGGGGGATCGAAAAAGTCGGATAAAGTCCCACTAACACCCTGGCCGTGGCCAGATCGCGCTTGGTCGCGGATCCATAGCGACTTTCTCGGACCGCTAAAAGGTCGGATGTTTATGATTGTGATTGATGCGCATTTGAAATGGCCCGAGATGGTTGATATGGGGAAGTGTACGACGGCGGATAGAGTGATTATTGAATTTAAAAGGTTATTTAGTAGACACGGATTACCGAGACATATTGTGACAGATAACGGCAGGCAGTATACTTCAAATGAGTTTCAAACGTTCTTAAAGAATAATGGAATAAAGCAATCGTATTCGCCTCCTTCCCAGCAAACACAAAGTAACTGTATAACTGTAAGTTAAAATTTCCTACTCAACAATATAACTGTTACATAACACACGTGTTATATAACAGTTCCAGCAAACACAAAGTAACAGTTATATAACTGTAAGTTAAAATTTCCTACTTCACAATATAACTGTTATATAACACGTGTGTTATGTAACAGTTATATAGTTGAGTAGGAAATTTTAACTTACAGTTATATAACTGTTACTTTGTGTTTGCTGGGTTATCATCCAGCCACAAACGGCGCGGCAGAAAACTTTGTAAAGACATTCAAGGATAAAGTGAACAAATGTTTAAAGTCAGGAAAATCCTTAGAATATGCGGTGAACTTGTTCCTTTACGATTATCGCTCGACACCACATGCTACGACCGGTAGAAGCCCAGCTTGGATGCTATATAAGCGCAAACTTCGCACTCGTTTTGATTTATTAAAGCCGAGTACAATAGATGAGGTCGAAAACAATAGGGAAGCGCAAGTTCAACGCAAAAAGGGAAACCGGCAGGTGTCATTCGCGCTGTTGTGATGGTAGACGATCATAGAATGGATAGAAAAGATAAGCGAGTAGAGGTGGAAATAGTTGAACAATTGTCACCGGCCACTTTTAAGGTTAATGTAGCTCCGAAATTGATCTGGAAGACACACTCGGATCAAATTGTAAATTTGAGAAGGTCAGATCGTATAAGAAACCAAGGCAAAGAAAACACAAAGTAGAAGGAGAGGAATTGTAATGTATGTGAATCACGTGGTTAAGGTAATACCAATGTGCTAGCGAAATATACAGGGTGGTCCCGAACCACAGACTTCTATATAACACTAGACCGCTAACTCCCTTATATTCGCGCATAAAAGTTGGTTCCAAGCATTATGTATTACATAGCGATCATGTGACGTGATCACGTGATGATTCCGGTAATATGGCCAATGCATTACCACATGTGATTGGCGACGAGAAGATTCGCTGGCGCCCCGCAGTAGTGAGCGGTGGAACTACCGTAAGTCAGACATAACCCTGACCGTACGTACTAGCGAATCTTCTCGTCGCCAATACCGAGTGATACGTGTCTCGATACACACGGGATATAAATATTAATATTTACTATGCCGGTGCGTTGTTGCCACAGACTTCTATATAACACAAGACCGCTAATTCCGCCACATACATGGTTCTGAAAAGAAGCTGTGGCTGGCACACACACACACATGTATACCTATACATTTATTGGTGGCCTCCAGTGGTGACACGCATGCGCAAGAATTCTGTACATACTTTTCAGAACCATGTATTTGGCGAAGTTAGCGGTCTAGTGTTATATAGAAGTCTGTGTCCCGAACGTTCCGGTCAGGCTTTGAAACTTTATAGGAAATTTAATTCTGAACAAAAAGTTTCCTATAAACATGGGTCGAAAAATGCTTCCTTAAAAAGTTAGCGCCCAAAAACCTCTGAAATCACGGTTATTTTCCCCGAGTCCGCGCTAATTTGGAGTCCTGTATCGCAGAGTATTCCAACCGGTCACGTGACTGTTCCCCCACCAAGATTCCGCCGGTAAGCAGTCTCCGCCTGAAGTTACCCCCTCTCATGACTGCCTTCCGTTCGTCACATCGCGTATTAAAAAGCGATGCTCTTTCAGCGTTATCCGGAAAAATGGATTGGCCGTTGGGGACCTGTGGAGTGGTCAACTAGATCTCCAGATTTAACCCCTTTAGATTTTTACTTGTGGGGAAGAGTAAAAAATGAAGTTTACTCTACGCCAATCGAGTCTCGTGAACATCTGATCCAACAGATAAACACGGCTTTTGATCGACTTAAATTAAATAGGGAGGAAATCCGTAAAGCGACCAGATCGGTCACTACTCGATGTCGAAAGTGTATTGAAGCTGGAGGGGGACATTTTGAGAACAATTAGTTTTTCGCGTTTTTGTTTATTTTCTATTATTACAGTACTATTTTTGTTTAAAAAGAAGAATTATTCTGTTTTTATGAAAGAAAAGGATTTTTATTTTGTATTTTTATTTATTTTTCCAAGAAATTTATTAAATGTCATTTTCTTTGTACTTCATTTTCTTTTTACCTTTTTCTCTTCCTTCCATCCATCTAAGGTGATTGGTTTAAACAATGCAGAAAAAAAATGTGTAAAATAACTGTGATTTCAGAGGTTTTTGGGCGCTAACTTTTTAAGGAAGCATTTTTCGACCCATGTTTATGGGAAACTTTTTGTTCAGTATTAAATTTCCTATAAAATTTCAAAGCCTGGCCGGAACGTTCGGGGCCACCCTGTATATACATCTAGCAACATCGGACCAAGCCTGTCCCTTACCGGACGTCGAGAGGTAAACACTCGCGTCACGTAGATTTCTGTACTTTCACAATTCTTGACTGATTGAAATAAACCTATACAGGGTGAATATTAATGGCTGCTCCAGCCTTTTACCATGAGAGATGGATTACCGACTGCAATTTTAGTTCACCGAACGGCACAAGAGGGCAGCTGCTTAGATCTCAGGGATGTTGCAGGCAAGTTGAAAACTTGTTCCACTTATAGATCAAGCGGAGAAAAATAATTTGCTTGCACAGTATATCTCATGTAAACTTAAGTAAATTTTGTCTATTATTTTATGATAAAGTTATTTTCTGTTTTATGGACAACTATGTGTTAAAAACACTAATCTTATTGAAAAATAATTGTGCGAAATGTTTAGCTAAAGAAGTAAAATAATTTCTGTTCTATTAAACGTTCTGCTGTAATGGTGAATAATTTTAATAAGGTATAATAAAGCAATTTTCGTATCGTCATCACGTTATTATTAAATATGGCAGTATTTAAGTAGCAGCAATAGTTTTGCTGCAATAGCAAAAATTATTTTTTTCCGTGCGTATTATTGAAAGTATAAGTATGAAATAATGTGTGGTGTAGAAATAATAAACAAAAAGTAAAAATAAAAATAATGTTTGCTTACACGAAAAAGAAAGATTAGCTTACCCTGCTAGTAAGCAGCAACAGTTTCGATGCAATAGCAAAATTATTTTTGCTGCTACTTGAATACTGCATATGTATTTGATATATACGAAAATTTCTTTATTATACATTATTAAAATTATTCACCATTACAGCAAAACGTTTGACTGAACAGAAATACTTTTATTTCTATAGCTAAATATTTCGCACAATTATTTTTCAATAAATTTAGTGTTTTTAACACAGAGTTGTCCATAAAAGAGAAAATAACTTTATTATAAAATAACAGACAAAATATGAGTGGCACCCGTTTGGCCACGTTAATATTGACCACAGTCCCGATTGACCACGTTAATATCGACTACGTTGTGTATGACCACGTTGATATTGACCACGTTGCAATTGACCACGGTCCCGATTGACCACGGTCCCGATTGACCACGTTGCAATTGACCACGTCGCAATTGACCACGGTCCCGATTGACCACGTTGCAATTGACCACGGCCCCGATTGACCACGTTGCAATTGACCACGGTCCCGATTGGCCACGTTGCAATTGACCACTGTCCCGTTTGACCACGAGCTAAAAGCACACACACACACACACACA